AAAGTAAATATTTCTACCGTTTAGAGAAGGTATATAGATAAGTTGTAATAGATGGTATGGACTACTTCATTCATAATAGTAGTCTAGTTCATAATAAATAAGGAATAAATTGCCTTTTTAATAGTTTAAAACCCCTTTCTGTAGGGGTTTTGTACAAGGAACAGAAAGTGGCTTTTTAATACGAGTGGGGAATTCGAAAAAGGCACTTATCCCGTGACACACACGATATTTTTTACAACAAAGGTATGAATTTCGCGTCCAAAATAGTATATTGTGTATAAAAAATTATTAAAATTTAAGAGGAGAATGGAAGAAACCTATCCCGAGATTTCTAACCCCCTGTCATAAAATCAGTGTCAAATAGACACCCTGAGTGGATGGCTAGGGAGGTTCGGGAGGCAAAGCTCCCCGACTATAAAAAACCAACTCAAAAGATGAAATGTATAAAAGGTAGTATTGTTTACATTGGGGCGCTACATTCTCAATGTTAAAGCAATGAACTAAATCTCTAAAACTCCCGTCAGACGGTAAAAAAACTCATATTTGGGTGAAAATTTCCCAACTAGGCCACCTAAAACTGACTTTTCAAATTAAAAATTTTTTTTTTCATAACCTATTGCAGGAAGCCGAATTAAAAACATTCCTGAAATGCATTTTTAAAAAAATTATTTTTTTAATTATTTATTAACAATTGAATATTTTGTTACCTTTCCACTAAATTCGCAATTACTCTGTTGCTTGTTAATGAAATTTAATAAAATTTGGTGAGTATATAGAAAAATTTTGTCTCTTTAAAATGCAATAGAAATTTCAATTAACCTTTATTGATTATGCAAAGAAAATTTAATAAACAAATGAATATTTAAACTATTTCTCATATGTTTAGGAAAAAATTTCAAAAACGACATAAAACTACACTTTCTCAACTTTAATTTAAAAAAAAAATCTTAGTACCTTTAAAAAATAAGTGAATTACGCGAATTTTAATAACTGACATTGCCAACTAGCAGTTTGCTAACTTAGCAGTATTGCTTATCGTAATCCCGGTCCAGGTACCGCCGGTTGACTAACAATGCCCCCTTAGCCAAAACATAGGTTTGTATTATATACAAGGCGCATATATCATAATTTGGGGCATATTATTATGTATTATAAATACTACTAATGGGTCAGTCCACTGACTTTCGTCTAATAGTGGTTGCGACCAAATTTTTAAAAAATCTAGTTTTAATATACGTGAAACTCGATGATTCCCTGAGTTCATTAACCATAATATTATGGTAAAAATTTTATTCCCTTTAAAAATATTAAATATCAAAAGTAGAAGGTTCACAATGTGATTTTGTAACCTTAAATTTTTCAATTTTTTTAAAAACGCTATTTTAAAAAAGTATTAAAAATTAGATGTTGGAACTCACCAAAAACATAAATTACTTTATTCTGCACAGAGGAACGAAAGAATTATTGCAAAAATTTATTATTTTTCGATGATATGCGATTTTAAAAAAAATTTTATTTAAATATTCTCAAGATTTTTATTTACTTATAACTTTTTTGTCGGTGCTCCGAAAAACTTGAGGTTTTACACAAAGATTTTTTATAATATTCTTTACCTTCTATTAAAATCTTACGAAGGTTAGTAAAAGGTTAGTTAAAAGACTTGAAGTTAACTAACAAAATTCAAACTGCTCCATTTTTTATAAAAATATATTAAAATGTAGCGATTTCAAATTGGTCAGTTAACTTCAAGTCCTTTAATTAACCTTTTTAAATAAAAAAATTTGTAAATTAATATCTCTAAAAAGAAGCAAAACACCTTCGTAAGATTTTAATAGAAGGTAAAGAATATTATAAAAAATCTTTGTGTAAAACCTCAATTTTTTCGGAGCACCGACAAAAAAGTTATAAGTAAATAAAAATCTTGAGAATATTTAAATAAAATTTTTTTAAAAATCGCATATCATCCAAAAATAATAAATTTTTGCAATAATTCTTTCGTTCCTCTGTGCAGAATAAAGTGATTTATGTTTTTGGTGAGTTCCAACATCTAATTTTTAATAGTTTTTTAATCATAGCGTTTTTAAAAAAAATTGAAAAATTTAAGGTAACAAAATCACATTGTGAACCTCCTATTTTTGATATTTAATATTTTTAAAGGAAATAAAATTTTTACCATAATATTATGGTTAATGAACTCAGGGAATCATCGAGTTTCACGTATATTAAAACTAGATTTTTTTAAAATTTGGTCGCAACCACTATTAGACGAAAGTCAGTGGGCTATCCCTAATATATTATATAACATAATATAATATGAACCATTGAAATAAAATTATAATAACGAAATTATTTGTATATTATAATGTTTATAATATGAACATTAGTAGCAGAAATATTTTATAAGTAATGGTTGCCCACACTAGACTTTATTGATCCGACTATGGGCTAAGAGAGAGGGACCGGCGGCAAGTGGGGTCCGTCGGTATGTGTGGCCGGCGGTAAGCGCGGTTTTACTGTACTAAGTTTGAATTTGAAGAAATTAATTTAACGTAGGACCACATTTTTGAATACTAGAATTTTTATTTAACCGAATTCTTTTTAATAGAATTTTTATTAAAGCCTAATTTTTATTTAACCAAATTTTTGTTTAGGCTAAATTAGTATTAGTAGGTATAAATTATATCAGTATAAATAAGTATCATTCGATAACAAAGAATAGGCTTCGACGCGTAAAAACGCACCGCGCGCTGCAGTGGTGAGTGTTCCAGCGCTTGCATGTCGCTCTTAAAATTCGCGTAATTCACTTATTTTTTAAAGGTACTAAGATTTTTTTTTTAAATTAAAGTTGAGAAAGTGTAGTTTTATGTCGTTTTTGAAATTTTTTCCTAAACATATGAGAAATAGTTTAAATATTCATTTGTTTATTAAATTTTCTTTGCATAATCAATAAAGGTTAATTGAAATTTCTATTGCATTTTAAAGAGACAAAATTTTTCTATATACTCACCAAATTTTATTAAATTTCATTATCAAGCAACAGAGTAATTGCGAATTTAGTGGAAAGGTAACAAAATAGTTCCGAATAGCACATACCTCTGATTTCGATAAAACTTGGTATCCCTACGTAATTTGGTGCGCTGATTACGAAAATCATAGTGAAAATTGGCGGAAATTTAATTATCATGGTAAAAACCATAAAAAACACCATAAAATCATGGTTTTTTTTCGATTATCTCGTAAAAAACAAAAAACTTCGAAAAAAGTTTTAGACGAAAGTTGTAGATCTCTAAAAAACACACATTTCATGTTTTATGCATTTTTTACCAAAAGTCATTATTTTTCGAGAAAAACGCAAAATAGTAAACACGGCCTTCGGCCGCGTAAGGTACTGCTCGCTTCTCTTTTTAAGAAATCTTGGCGAGAGGGGGTGGATGTGTCCGAAAGTAATTTGCAGAAATTGTGGGGTGGAGTCTACAGCAGCGGTAAACGCAAAATAGTAAACACGGCCTTCGGCTGCGTAAGGTACTGCTCGCTTTTCCATGATAATTAAATTTCCGCCAATTTTCACTATGATTTTCGTAATCAGCGCACCAAATTACGTAGGGATACCAAGTTTTATCGAAATCAGAGGTATGTGCTATTCGGAACTGCACCCAATTGTTAATAAATAATTAAAAAAATAATTTTTTTAAAAATGCATTTCAGGAATGTTTTTAATTCGGCTTCCTACAATAGGTTATGAAAAAAAAATTTTAATTTAAAAAGTCAGTTTTAGGTGTCCCAGTTGGGAAATTTTTACCCATTTATCAATTTTGCGTATCCGCCAATATATTTGCTCCCTAGGGAATATGTACTCCCGCTATTCTTAACCAATAAGAAAACTCCGACTCCTGGCCCGTCTCGGATGCATGAAAAATAGAAAAATTCATGCATGTGAGGTTAAACATAAATTTTGTAAAAAAAAAAAAATTTAGGAAAAGTCACTGAGATGTGTAAGTGTAGTGTAAGTGTAGTGTAAGTGTAGTGTAAGTGTAGTGTAAGTGTAGTGTAAGTGTAGTGTAAGTGTAGTGTAAGTGTAGTGTAAGTGTAGTGTAAGTGTAGTGTAAGTGTAGTACTATTAGCTGAAAAAATTTATAAATTCCAAACACACGAATGCATATACTTAAAGTACAGCTATCTGGAATACGTTTCTCATAGCCTAAACGATACCTAGAAATAAATAAAATATGAAAAATTGAGAAAAAGAAAATTTTACAAGGCAAAAACTTGATGTTTTTGTGTTTTGAAGAAAAAGAGGGGTTAAATGTCAGTTTTAAGAAATTTTGACCATGCCATTCGAAAGAGCAACTTTAAAAATAGTTAATAATGGTATGTTTGGAATTTTTTTTTCTGCTAATGGTACGAAATTGAAAGCCAAGTAGAAAAGTAATACATTTGGGCGTTAAAGGGTGAAACGCTGTAAAAAACTTCAATTGTTGAAACCCAAAAAATTTTTATTTTCTTAAAAATCCTTTGATCCGTTTAATAAACTCATAATATTGTCTTTATTTAATTTATTATTAAATGAATGTAACAAAAAAAATCGAAATTTAGTAGTTATGATTTAGATCAAAGCATCATTTTCACCGTAAAGGTTTGTGAATACATAAAAAATATTTAAAAGGTTGATACAAAAAAATTTCAATAATATCGTCTATCCTACACAATGACCTGGCAATATTGCCTCAGACTTTCCGTGTAATATTTTCTCAATATTGCGGCGCAACATTGATTTATACTTGCCCTGCAAGGTAGTTGTGACGCGAAACCATTCAATCTTGCACGAACTTTACCTGAATAGTGCAATGTAATATTGCAAATTTTTCCATGGAACACCGTGTCAAGTTTCATGTAAGAAATTGTACTATCTGATCTCATTTTTTTCCTTTAGGAAAGCTAAATTATGAATTTTTTTAGTACAAATGGTTATGTTAGTTGTGAAAATTAAAGATTAAACTCACCTCATGTAATCCAGGCATTGTATCTGCACCGTACTCCGACATCAAGACCGGTTTATTGTATTTGCGATGCCAAGCCTCAGCTTCTGATATTACCTTCTGCGTTATCATGTCAATTCTTCCAGAATTATGATACCAAGAATTATATCTGTTGAAGCTAATAATGTCCAAAAATTCACCAGCTTTATCTTCCTATCAGTAAACCAATAATAATTAATAATTAATTTTGTTTCACTGCATTGGCTTAACTTAAAGACCTGATAATTTAAGTATGAAATACAATAAGAGGGGCGCCTACTTTAGAAGGTAAAAAAATGTGTAAATTTTAAGAATTTTTTTCTTAAACACATTGAAAAAAATTGATGCCAGATTTAGTTGATGTTTTCTTATGTACTTAAACCTTTAAAAAATAATTTTTTCGTTAAAAAAAATAAAATTTAATAATAAAATAAACATCATATATAAAATGCCTCGTTTCCCATTGTGTACAATCTAGGGTCCACAATTCTTATCTAGAATAAACAAACAAAAGTTTTTCCTTCAATCGTACATTATTGCCTTCTGAAAAAAAATTGAAAATTTAAAACTTTACATGATTTTTTTTTTTTAAATTTAATTTTCGACAAAAAAAATTTCACTTTTTCTTAAAAAAATGTTAAAATTAACTTAAAAAATTGTACTCATACAGAAGGAAATAACATAGAGTAAGTGTACCAGTTACCGTTGGTGCACCAATTGTCGATGGTCGTAATTTTCTTTTTCCAATAAATAGCTATTACGACCAATATACTATAGTATATTGTAGAAAATTTAAAAACCAATAGTATATTTCTTAACATGGGGAAGACGGACCCATTTACGGAGAGGGCGAATGTTTTTAGCACGAGTCGAGCACTAAGATAAACGAAGCCGTAGCTCAAGCGCCGAACAGTGCTCGACAAGTGATAAACATATTTTTTATGTCGAATGCACGATTTCGCCAGTTTTGTGCCCCGTCGAGCGAGTTTAAACTTCAGGTTTTTGAATCGGTGCAAAACACAAATATTAAATGTCATCTTTAAATGGTTCACTATCAGAACTCGTCATTTTTACGATTTTTTTAATAGTTTTAAGCACTTTTGATAAAAATATTAAATCTAACTTGAAGAATATATGAAGATAATCGCCAACGACATCCCGATTAGTATATCCAGCAAACATGCAGGTACTATCTCACTAAAAACATTGACCTGCGTGCGCTGGTATGGAGCATGCGCACAGCAACAACGACTGACTAAAAAGTGTGTGCAAATGATTTGTTTCATGTTTGTGATGTCACGTTTTTACTCCCTAGAGTGTAAATTGTTAATTTTAACGAACCTGCGCACGCCGCCCGAAAAGCTGGAGTTTAAGCTCGCTCGGTGGGGCGTAAAACTGACTAAATTGTGCATGTGTGATGAAAAATAATTTGTAAATTAACCTTATATTTCCAATTACATATTCACCCCATTAAATTTCATATCGATGGCACTATAATAATTATTCTTTTATAATTATAATTCTCTGCTGTCAAATTTACTCGATTCGACATTTTCTTAATACTTCAAGTTGATGGGAGTTGAATTTAAAAAATACAAATTAAATGTATTGAAGCATTATTAACTCTCACACCGGGGATCTATACTATTATGTGTGTTTATATTTACTTTCTTATCAATCTTAGCCTTGATTTGGTTCGGTTCTGAGAAATTAATAAGTTCAAACATGTGGTTGAATGACCGTAAACATAAATGTTTAGATAGTAATCACCCACATTACGTAAGTTTATACAAAAGAAAGAATGACTATTGTCTAAATTTAAAGGGACATTGTATTTTCAAATTTAATTATTGGATACAATGAACACGTGCCAGCTATATCAACAGATATGATTGTAATTATATAATGGAATAATTTAAATTAGATCAATCCTTAAATATATTATTTCTATAGATATATTTGAAAAAAAATATTTATTTTATTTATAGAAAACTTGTTGCTTGTTTACCAAATTAGAGGAATCTTTTCCATAATTATTCGGTAGATCAGCTGTTTATTTTCTTATTCACTTCTACTTTTATAAATGAATAAATGTCATATATCGTTTCGGAGTTGAATATTTTTACTTTACAAAAATATAAATATTAATTATTAATAAAGAAACAAAATATACAATCAATCATATGGTATGGTTATTTATTGTTTAAGTTTGAATAATTAATTGTGAGTTCGTTCTGAATGAAATTAAATAAAATAATCTTATTAATTAACTTAAATTTTTCACCTTTTTGCTTGATTTCTTTCTAACAAATTTGTTTTTCCTCAATTGAAATTCAAAATTAGCTCGTAGGCTTATCTATATAAAAAAAATATAAAATAAAATTTTAACAAAATAAAAGAAACCTGTCAATTCCTATCAACTATCAAGGTCAAATTCTCTATTCCCTAAATTAGTTAATCTATCATAAGTAAATTAATTTTCCAAGTATTTCCTTCAGACTTTGATATATTTTATATGTTATTTGATTCACCACATATTAAAATGATCAAGTCTAAATAGAAAATAAATGAAAAAGTCATTTGCCTCTCTGAAAATTAGCCTAAATAAATAATTTAAGTAAATTATTTATTTCCTGAATTAAATAATTAATTGGAGGGCAAGGATTCATAATCAATTGAATCTTACACATTAACAAATTGATCGCCTATTGCAATAAATTTGAGATATATGTATTTTCAAGAGACTCCGAGTTATCAGAAACCCCTTAAGTCTGTCTTCATGGCTTGACTTTGTAGATTTTATAGTTTGAGTTAAATTGATTATTCACTTTTTTGTTTCTTCTACTTGCCTAATCTTGACTCTAAATATTAAATTTATAATTTGTTTAAAATATTTATTTCGTATATAATTCTGAGTTGGAACGGTTGTTACACCAGCCTTTCAGATATTATATAAGATTATGTAAAAAGATAAAAAAAAGAAAAATATAAATAATAAAAAATTGATATTTTAAATAATAAAAAAATTTTATATTGAACACTTGTTCTTTTATTCTTTAGAACTTACTTTTATATTGTTAAATCCAATCACAAAAAAATTTAATCACTCTACACAAAACTATCTGTCAAAACCCAATATGTCAATAAATATATGTAATCTGCCTGAATAAATTTCATAGAATGCCCGAATTTAGGTATCCTCTATTTATTAACTCGAGAAGACGCTTAATCCCCCAAATTTCTCTCTATCCCGTGTAGGTTTAAATTTAGTAAGTGTGTAAGAGAAATTCTGACAGCTGATTGCTTGAAAATCCGCGGTTTTCCCTTCCTACCATTCTTTGTATACTTTTACTGTATATTTTATACCTACAAATTTTCCCTCTAATAGCATTTTTCGCGGCGTCCTATTTTCTTAGCCAATAGAATTTAAATTATTTTGGTAAGGACAGAGCGATTCTTCTCTTTCTAATTCCGTTGTAACGTATACAGAGAACAATGCCATTGTCCAGCTGTCAATCATTTTTCAATTATTAATATAATTTCTTTAAATCTTTGATATCTTAAAAATAATAATTTAACAATGATTTTACTTTTACTATTAACTTTTAAATAATTTTTACTTTTATGTGACATATAATTTTTACTTTATTATTATTAATTGAAGCAATTAAATAAAATAATTTGTATTATTTTATACAAAAAATGAAAAATATGGTTAATTAATTTAATTATAGTTTATATTTATTTTTAATATTGTTAATAAAAAATCTTTAAATTTGAATTAAATTAATAATTGCTTTATATTCGAAATTGAATCTTTCCTCTGTTACTATTATTTTTCTCATGTATATTTCTCTATAGTGTTATCTATGAATGTCTTCTATCTCTTTTTATTATTTCTGAAATTCTATTTCTCCAGATTTAAATTTATTTCTTAATATTTCTTTTCTTTTGTATTTATAACTAATTTATAACTTTTCTTTAAATAATTAATTATTTTTATAATAATTTTACAAAATAAAATAATTTTTATTATTCTATTTATCAATATTTAAGTTAATGTTAAAAGATATTTTATTTATATATTATTAATTATTTAATATAGTATTTAAACATTAAATTTCTTCTTCCTATGCACTTTTATATTTTTAGAATTTCTATATTAGTGTATAATTTAGACATTCATATACACACATATATACACATATATATGGGACGTCAACCGGACCACCCCATCTCTCCATAATTGGTTTAATTTAAAAAATTTTATCATATTGGAAAAATTACCTTAAATATAGCGCCTAAGCGACATAAAAAAACACAAAAAATCCACTAATATGATCTATATTATTGTTTAAAGCTTCACATATGACGATAAAAATAACCACAACATAGTTTACTTACAAACTGATAACGTATCTCCATTCAAAATTCAAAAATTCAAAATGGCGTATCAAATATGGCGGATAAAATTAAAAATTGAGCTAGACTCGTGAAAATTACTACTTGGGGGTTTTCGAGGTTACAAATTTGATGTCAATTTTTAAAAATAATAAATGGCGGATTCAAATTGGCGGACCAAAAATTCAGAAAATTGAGGTAATTTCGTAAAAATGTCTACATAGAGGTTTTTTTGGTCTCTTTTCCAAAGCCGATGTCAGTTTTAAAAAAATTTTAAATGGTTGATGACAAATCTCTATTTAAAATTCAAAATGGCGCATAGAATTAAAAAATTAGGCTGGTCTTATGATTATTAATTAAATAATCCTCACGTAATTTCCATAAAAAGTTATCTGGCGTTGTATCTGATAAGTTCAAATGGCACTTTTTTACGTTCAATATAAAAAAGTTAGATGAATTTTTTATATTTTGGTCCACCATTTTAGATTCAGCATTTTGATTTTTTCAAAAGTAACGATGAATTCGTAAAGGTTGTTCTGCAAAACCCTTAGGTAGACATTTTAACGAGTTTAGCTCCATTTTTTGGACTTTTGGTTTACCCCAGAGTAAACAATTTCACGTGTTTAACTCAATTATTTAAATTTTGGGCTACTATTTTAAGTCCGCAATTTTGAATTTTTAAAAACTATCACCGGATTTGTAATCAGCGACCCCAAAAACCCCCGAGTAACAAGTTTCAGGCGAATCTAAACGATTTTTCAATTTTGGTCCAC